CTGAACGTTTATCGTGAAGCCCATCAAATGGAAATGCATGGGGCTGGAAAGATGGTTCAGGGGTTAAGAGTACTTACTGTGGACCCAGGTTCAGTTCTCAGGATCCACATCAAGAGGCTCTCAACAGCCTGTGGTTCCAGTTCTGGGAGATACAGTGCCTATTTCTGTGTCTGTGACACCTTCACACAAAAGTGGACACACACACACACACACACACACACACACACACTTACACAGAAAATAAACAAATTCTGAAGATTTTTAAAAAATGGCCCTAAGAAGAGTTTCAAAACAAAAACCCAATCCAAACTTCAGAAGCCCGAGTGGTGTGGGCAGCTGTCTTCTTGGGTAAGGACTCTGATCCTTCTGGGAACCAATCTCAGATCACAAGGCCACTTCTCCTCCAATCCCAAAGCCTTGCTTGACGCTTCACACCAGTAGCCACTTTTGTGAATAACTGTCATTCAGACGCTATGAGGGGATTGCTGTGGCTGTGTGGGATGGAACAGGAGCCTGATATAGAGACAAACGTGAAGCGGGGCCTCCTGCCTAATAAGGCTTGGGTTTGGACGAACACCTGCACTTGGAGGTTAAGTCCAGTGTGGCGACATTGCAGTGGGGCCCTGTGTGAGGCCGGGGGAGGTCTGAAGAGGTCTCTCAACCCGGAGTGTTTCCTTCTCAATGCCACACTGTGTTTTAATCCCACCCTACTCTGACCTGATACCCTGACTGCCAGCAAAGTTGGCAAGGCCTTCTTCAGTGCTCCGGTTTCCCATGTGTGCCGTTAGAGCATTCTTTGTCTCCCTGGTGTCTCTCAGAACCAGGACCAAGCCCTCTGTCACTTGTAAAACCTGTTAGACTGAGCTGGAACACTTGCTGAGTGTCCTGCGGAAGGCTTAGGCCTGTGTCTTTCCTGCTTGGACACGTCAGCTATCGGTTGCCAGTGTGGTGCCATCTGGTCTCTCAGTGACCCTGCAGTGTGGACTTTATTGTGGGGAAGACGCTGGTTCTCCCAGATGCCAGTTTCACTCACTCACTGGAGGGGATGCGGCTTCCCCTCCAGCCATCAGGACCTCAGTCTGAAATCTTACATTAGAAAAATGGTTTAAAGTGGCCAACTCCAGAGATGCATATTTTTAATTTTAAGTAAAAATTAAAAAGTGACAGAACTAAGCAGGAACACGCTGGGATTCCATCTTTGGAAAGGCCCAAACCACCTGAACCATAGAGAGACTCTCTCAACAGACAAGGCCCGGGCTGTTTGTAGCTTAGGTGGCAGACGGGAGGTTCGGTTCCTAGAGAACCGCAAAAGAAAACAGTGACATAACTGATCAATGCATTTTCTTTCCCTTTTTTTTTCTTGTTTTTTTTTAAAATGGGGCTAACTATGTAGCTCTGACTGTCCTGTAACTGACTATATAGACCAGGCTGGCCTTGAACTCAGAGATTCACCTGCCTCTGGGTGCTGGGATTAATGGTGTAGTCTTCTTAAGACTTTCATCTTTTCTCCTCTCCTCTCCTCTCCTCTCCTCTCCTCTCCTCTCCTCTCCCCTCCCCTCCCCTCCCCTCCCCTCCCCTCCTCTCCCCTCCTCTCCTCTCTTTACTACTGCCTTCCCTTCTGGTTCTTCAATTTCTCTGGGTTTTTTCTTTTTCTTTTTTTTTTCTTTTTGGTTTATTGATACAGGATTCCTCTGTGTAGCTTTGGTGCCTGTCCTGGAACTCACTCTATAGTCCAGGCTGGTCTTGAACTCACAGAGATCCATCTGTCTCTGCTTCCCAAGTGCTAGGATTAAAGGTGTGCACCACCAACCACCACCTAGCTTCCTTCCTTCTTTCCGTTTTTCTTTTCTTTTCTTTTTGAAAGGCTCCTATAAGGCTCAGACTGGCGTTGAATTTGTGGCTGAGGTTAATTTAATATGTAAAAGCTTGCTAGGAATATGCTATAGTGATTGACCAAGCAGTGGTTATTTCGGGAGTCTGGGCAGCTGGGAAATGAACAAATGGCCTCTTAAAACACACTTGGTTTTTGAGACAGTACCAAGCAGGCTAGCCTGACTGGCCAGCAAAGTCCTAGGGACCCTACTGAGTCTTCCTCAGCAGTGGACTTGGAGGCGCGTCACCTGGCTCACCTGGCTTTTTTTTTTTTTTTTTTTTCATTTGTGTTTTCTTCTCCAAAATGTCATCGCAAGGGGCTTGGCAGTTCAGAACACATAATGCTCTTACAAAGGATGGAGTTCCCAGCTCAACGTTAAATCCAACCCAAGGAGCCCTGATAACTCAGGTACCTGAATTTACATGAACACACACACACACACACACACACACACACACACACAGAGTTAAAAATACATATAAATATTAAAACACCATCAAATGATGAATGCCACCAATCGTGTGGTAACTAAACGAGTCAGTATGGGCACTATATTGAACACCATCTAAAACACGGTAAGCGCTCTCCCAGTTACTGAGTTCCTTCTATTTGGGCACTCAAATCTCTTCTGCAGTCCCCTTTGTAAGTCCATTTTAACACTAGGTGGCAGCAGCTCTCACTTAAACAATTATAAGGAGGAATGCTAACTGGAAGATAAAGGAGAGGTACCAGCAAGATGGGGAGAGACTGAGACAGAGATGGAGGGGAAGACGGGCATAACAAGAGGCACAGAAAGAGGAGGGGGGAGAGGGGACAAAGGAGAGGTAGAATTTGGTAATTTATTTTTATTTGCATACAACATAGCAGAGTCATCCCAGGATCTTCATAAGTATCCTTGCACTTGGTTCTAGCTCATTATCTTTTCTCCCCACCCCTGTGTCCCTTCTTGCTAAAACTTGGTGTTTCCTTTCCCTCTTCTTTTAAAAACATTTTTTTTTATGTGTATGGATTTTCCCCCTTGCAAGTATGTAGTGTCTGGAGGGGCATCAGATCTCTTGGGACTGCAGTTACATAGGGCTGTGAGTGGCCATGTGGGTGCTGGGAATTGGAATCTGTGTCCTTTGGAAAGTAGCCAGAGCTCTTAACTACTGAGCCATATCTGCAGCCCTTAAGATTTATTTTTACTTTGTATGTTAGGGTATTTTTCTGCATGTATGCCGGCTCACCATGTATGCGCAATGCTCTCAGTGGCCAGAGAGGATGTCAGATGCTCTGGACCGGGAGTTTCAGATGGCTGTTGGTGCCATGTGGGTGCTGGAGCCCGAATCTGGGTCTTCTGAAGAGCAGCAGGGAGATGTTTCTCGAGCCCTGATTTGATATTTCTAAAGAAAACTCAGAAAATAGTCTTTGTTTGAGGATCTTTATTGGAAGCCTTCTTCCACCTTCTTGGATGTTTAGTTTATTTCTCCCGTGTCAGTGGGGTTGTGGGGGTGTTTATGCTCTTTGTTGATGATATTTACGCATTGTAAGTGGCTCTGGATGAGAGTTTCCCAGATCGCAGGGCACATGTCTGTAAAAATGTACTTTCTGTACATTGTTAATTTAGATTTTCTCCTGCTCCTCCTCCCATTATCAGAAATTATGCAGTAGTTTCTCACATTTGGGGAACTTACAGGGGTCAGCATGTCCAGGGTCAGCATGTCCCTGGGAAAACCAGGATGATCTCCCCTGCCAGCCAAGTATTTGATATTAATCTTAATTATAAAAATAGGTTGGACCGGCAAGACAGCTAAGGGATAAAGCTTTGCTGTCAAGTCTGATGATCTGCGAGTTTGAAGCCAACCTGGGCTGCCTAGTGGTTCTAGACCATTCTGGACTTCTCAACAAAACAAAGCAGGAAAGAAGTGTGGCAGGTAGAGAGATTAGTGTGTTTTACCTTAAAAGCTGGCCCTGGAACTCGCTATGTACTGAGGGCCCAGTCCCCTCTCAATCGGAACATTTTGTCTCTTTCATAGAGTTGTCACTGAACTCACACTGATAGAATCTGATCCTTCTGTGCTTCAGAGACTCGCAAGCATTAGCTTTAATCCGTACTACCCACGAAATCTACACATACAATATTCTCTTTGACTTAGGAAGTCATTTAGGCTCGAAGGAGGGACACTGGAAAGGTCCTGGCCTTAGCAAGGAACAGCCTCTAGCAAAACCCTCCCGCATAGTGACACCATTTGCCTTGGACTCTAAGAAGTTATGGATCCTCATGGTCACAGTTGTGTGACTAACCCCACAATTTTATCTACTTTTTGTAGAAACTGACGCCTGAACCTCGACCGTGGGCTGTCACTCACTTGTGAGGTGTGAGTCCCACTGCGGAGGGGTTGAGTCCGAGCACCCAGTGGGCGCGCGCACACAAAGCCCTTTGTTGAGGCGGCTGGTGACGCAGGGCGGGCACGGGGCAAGCAGGGGCGCAAGAGCAAGCAAGCAGGCGCACTCACGAGCAAGCAGAAAGGCGCGTGTCCGCGGCGGGGCGGCTGCGAGTGCGCGGCCATATGCGCCTAGCGCTTGCGGCCCTGGGTCGCGTGGCTGAGGCCCACGGACCTTCAGCCTGGTACAGAGGGGCGAGAAGTGGCTCGGGCGTGGGAGGGCGAGGAGGGCGCTCTCTGCCCCGCTCCAGTCGGTTCTGGCTGGAACTGCACTCTGGAAAGGGCCTTGGCAACCAGTGCAAGCCTGGTGAGCCGGGAGTAGAGCTGCAGGGTCCTTGTTCTTATCACAGCCATAAGGGCGCGCAGCTGTGAGACTCTGCATCCGGGCACAGGCGCTTATGGTGCCAGGGCACAAGGCTACCTGCCAACTGCAACCTTTTAGTTGCCCGATAGAGCGACTTCCTGGAAACAAACAGAACTAGCTTTTTTTTATTTTATTTACTTATTTATTTTTATGTCCAGGGTCCAGATCCAGCTAATGTTTACGAATGTGCTTCCTGACATCCCTCCATGTTTTGTCATGACCTTTTGGTTATTTGGCTATAAAAATATTCAAACGAGAGCTGTTGCTGTCCTTCCAGGCCAAGAGCACCGGAGACAGTACATCAGGCTCTTATGTAAGAGAAAGATCGTGACCATTCACCATGGCGTATGGCTTGCCAAGAAGGAACACAGTGCAAACCATTTTGAAGGGCAGTTGTTACAAAGTGTAAGTACACACACACACACACACACACCATACACACACATACCTATACACAAATTACAATAGTGTGGTTGGGGTTTGTGACTGGCTGGGCACGCTTCGCAGCAAGTTGATGGAGTATAAGAAAGCATTTTAAAGTGTCTGAATTTTGTTTCTAAAAGACTACTTGAAAAATTATTTTTATGTTGTACGTGCCTCTTCGTGTGTGCATTATGTTTAAGGAGGTGTCTATGGGGGCCAGAAGACCTCCCCTGGAACTGGAGTTACAGATGCTTCTTGTGAGCTGCCCCTGGCAGACGCTGGGAACCAAACCTGGGTCCTTTGAAAAAGCAGTTTATGCTCTTAGTAGATGATCCATCTTTCCAGCTTCCCAAATACTACTTTTTATAAAAATATACAAATGGGTGTAGAGAGGTGGCTCATGGGTTAAGAGCACCCGCTGCTTTCCGGAGGATTGGGGCTTAGCTCCTGGCACCCACGTGGCGGCTCACACGGTCTCTAACTCCAGTGCTAGGGGATCTGTCACCCTCTTCTGGACTCAGTGGCAGAAAGCGCACTTGAAGACACGCGCATATATGCAAACAAAACACCTCCACAAAATAAAGTAATCTGAAAAATCAGAATACGCATACAGGGGAGGGAAGGAGGTATCTGGCCTTGTTTCTGGGCACGTTCACATCAGTTCATCACTGAGGGAGCCTTGGAGGAATACAGCTTGCTGTCTGGCTCACAGGCTTGTGCTTAACTCTGCTTATACACTCCAGACCACCTCCCCCCCCCCCCCCAGAGTGGTGCAGCCCACTGTGAGATGGGGACTCCTACGCAGTTAACAGGGAAAACAAGTCCCCACAGATGAGGCCACAGGCCTTGTGATCTGGGAAATCCCTCAACTGAGACTCCCTTCTTAGGTGGTTCTAAGCGGCCTCAAGTGGCCAGTTAAACTGAGACACAATTCTATTTAGTCTTCACACCAAAGACAGACTATGAAATGAGAAAACAGAGGTTTAGGTTGATCAAACCCACAGCCGTGTGCTTATGATATTCCGCGGGAGGCTGTGTCACCTTATTTAAAAACATTATTTTTTTCAAGACCGGTTTCTCTGTGTAACAGTCCTAGCTGTCCTGGAACTAGCTCTTGTACATCAGGCTGGCCTTGAACTCACAGGGATTCACCTGCCTCTGCCACCCGAGTGCTAGGATTAAAGGTGTGTGCCACCATTGCCAGGCTTTTTAAAAAACATTTTAAAAGTGATTTTTTAGGTTAACATGGGTTTCTATGTATGTGTCTTTATTTGTAGGTCTGGGTTTTTTTCTTTGGTTTCAGTCATTAAAAACACCTGTACTGCTCCCATCCTAAAACATACCTTTAGCGGGTACAAATAACACCTGTGTAAAAGCGCTGGTCAGTTTAGCTTTCCAGCCTCTCTGGCAGGCAGCGTGTGGCAACATGGACTTTTTAGTCTGCAGTCCTGCGCTCCAAGCCGGGCTCCCTCTGCACACAGCGTCTTCGCCTTATCTCCCACATCTGTAACGCGATGCTCACTTATCTATTGTGGTGGGGCTGGCAAATGAGCCAATGCCTGTGTGAGACCTGCTGGTTGCCTGGGACACAGAGAACACATCATGAACACGCATTGCCAGCACCACACAGTAGTCTCACTCTGTGATTTTGAGCTATTGCCTTAGAGAACTGGATTTGTTTCACAAGGTTTTTTGAGCCTGCCTTACTAGGTGACCTTAGCTGGTCTGAACGAGCTGTTTGGCTGTGCAATCAGGCCAGCGTCAGCTTCTGCATCTGCTTTCCAGGCGCCTTGATTCAAAGGAATGCACAACCAATGCTTGGCTCTTATGTTTTAACCTCTCTGCTTTGGTTTATGACATTTACCATTATGCGTGAGTCAAGCAAGGTTTTCTTTTTAGAATAGCGTTCTACGATGTCAGTGTGGTTCCTCACAGGGTGACGTAGCTAGAGCGGCAGGGGAGTTGCCATTCGTTACCTTCAGCTTAGTTCTGTCCGTTGTGTGTGTTTAGACCTTGGGTTACATAAAGCACCATTCAAGTAAATATTATTACAAGTGCAATTTTAGCTAAGTCAGGGGGCACAGGCCTGTAATTCCAGCCACTTGAGTAACTGAGGCAGGAGGATTATAAATTAAAGACCTGCTTGAGCAATTTAGGGAAACAACAACAAAGAAAAAAATAATTACTACACAAAACACATCAAATCCACAAAAAATCCAACCAAACAATCAGATAATACACATGCATGGGGAGCCATAGGACAGCTTGTGGGAGCTGGTTCTCTCCAGCCACTAGGGATCCCAGGGACCAATCTGGGTCACCCACCTTGCTGGCAAGCACTCTTACCCGCCAAACCATCTCAAAGTCTGCACTTTAAAGCAGGGTGAGCATTTTTATAAATACATCCGGGTGATTTTGCAACTGCTTCTATGATTTTTATCCTGTTAATTCACTCCCTAACATTGTATGCTGAAGTATCAACGAAACTGGAGGAGAAAAATCAAAGGGCAGCAGGTGTCACGTACCATTTCCCACCTTTAAACGAGGTGGAAGGAATGTGAACCGCAGATGAGAACCGCGTAGCTGACACTTGTCCTTTCTGAATTAAGCAAACTTTAGCTGGTAGTCTCATTTGTTTCTCCAGGATGGATATGAAAAGCCTTGGTATGTGCTACATACCCGCTCAATGTGTGCGGCTCTTTATGTACTACCTTTAGCTTTATGTTTTGCATGAGTATTTTGCCAGTATGTCTCTCTGTGCACCTTGTGTATGCAGTGCCCTCAGAGGTCAGAAGAGGGTGCTAGATTCCTTGGAACTGACTTTACTGATGGTTGAGAGCCACCCTGTGGGTTCTAGGAACTGAACCCTGGTCCTCTTAACTGCTGAGTCATCTCTCCAGCCCCATTCCTTTGTTGCTCTTTAAGACAGGGTCCTACCATGTGCACCAGGCCGCTCTGGCACTTATAATACATTCTAGGCTGCCCTCAACCTCACCATCCTCCTGCCTCTGCCTCCTAAGGACTAAGATTATAGTTGTGTACACCACTCTCAGGATTGCTGGATATGCCCTGCCATATCCAGCTCATGTTATTTGATCCACAAAAGACACTATAGATGGGCGTGGTGGTGCACACATTTAAACTCAGCCTTTGGGAGGCAGAAGCAGGCAGATCTCTGTGAATTTGAGTCCAGCCTGGTCTACATAGTAGTCAAGGCTAGCCAGGGTGTGACAGTGAGACCCTGTGTCAAAATAAAAATAAAAAGAGACATTCAGCTTACGATTCCCGTGTATAATCTCATCAGTGGATTGGCTGGAACTGTAGGGTGCTGCACTGTGAACAAACCCTGTCTTAGTTTCGGGTCTTTTATCAAGATCTCTGCCAATTAGCAGCAGGCTTTTATTGCTAGTTAGGGTGGTAACTCTGGAAAATCCTCCAGAAACAAAACTTGAGTGAAAGGTAGCAAGATGTCTGTATTTCACAGAGCATGCCCAGTAAAAACTGATTGAATAAGTTCACGAAATTTTGCCTCAGACAGGAACCATGGGACCTTGCAAAGCTCACAAAGACCTGGTACACAAACTTAGTGAACATCAGGTTGCCGTTCTTGGGAGAAATTGCTTTTGGTAATCCTGTGACGCTCAAGCCATGCAAAACCATCAAGGATGGCCTGCTCCCTTCAGCACAATGTAAGCTAGCTTTCTTTCTTTTCTTTCTTCCTTCCTTTCCTTTCCTTTCTTTCTTTCTTTCTTTCTTTCTTTCTTTCTTCCTTCCTTCCTTCCTTCCTTCCTTCCTTCCTTCCTTCCTCCCTCCTTCCCTCCCTCCCTCTTTTTCTTTCAAGAGCTACTTTAATAAATTAGTGATCACAGAACTTTTAAGTTTATCATCCACACACACCCATGCTTCCTGTCTGTCCTTAGTCAAGTTGTTAGTTCTTCTACAGTGTCCACCTGCTCTGTGCTTTGAGATGGTGAAAACGCCACTCAGATTTGCTACATTTGCTTTATCTTTCAGCCATCAAACTTGAAAATGAGTATGAAAAAAAGCGCCTAGCAAAGCTGAAGTCTCAGGAGAAATCGCACAAGGAAATGCAGGATTTACTAAGGCAGCAGAGAGTCGGCTTGGGCTTGCGGAGACCGCTTCAACCCAAGTGAGCCGGTGTGCTGTTGACCTGAACCCGCTTCCGGCGTCCACGGGGATGGATGGAGGCCTCTGATTCTCTCATGGTGTCGGGCAGACACGGTGGTGCCTGTGGGTGACATGGCGTGGTGGGCACACTGACAGAGCTCCTGGGTTCCTGCTACACTCTTGTTCTCTGTGTGCATACGGCAGCCCTCCCTGTAAGTAGATGAAAGATCACCTGGGGTTGAGTCATTCTGTGTCGGTCATTTCATGCTTGTAAGATAGCGTGGGGAAGAGGACGGTCCTTGTGAGAGGCTGCATGCTGAAGAAACGTCTGGACATGCGTCTTTGAGATCCCAGGGAGAGTTCTCAGAAAGACAGTGAGAGAGAAGTTCCTCTCTTCACAGTGAGAAAGTCTCTTCACAGCGAGAAACCGCATACTTTCATCTGGTTAAGAAGCAGCTAGGTTTCATTTCAGTGACTCTGTGGTTATTGATTTCTGGTAAAGTATCACTTATTCTTCTCATGTGGCACTTTATCTTTTAACTTCTTATTATGTAGTACTTTAAAGAAAGACTTATTCTATTCTTGTTCTCCTGGAAAAAAAATTGTCAAGCCACTTTCCTTCTCGCTAATGTTCTTTCCACAATGGACCTGGAGCAGGTGCAGCTATGTGGCGGAAAGGGACGTGAAGGGACAAAGATGGCCTTGTTGTGAGGAAGTCTCATATTCGCAGAGTGGCTGGGGAATGAGGAATTAACTGGAAAGAACTGCCTTTGTATGAACCAAGTTTTCTAGAATTTGCATACAATAAAGCATATTTGGATACTGTCATATTTAAGCCCTGTTTTTTAAAAGGTGGTTTCAACAGAGACGCTAGGACCATCTCATCTCCTAGCTTCAGAGAAGATCCTGTGGGGCAGCGGTGTTTAAACTCTCAGCCTCTAGCTGGTGTGCTTCACAGCTGTAGAGAGTATGCGAGGCTTGGGTCTCCAGCACGGAGAAACAGAAAAAGAACACAAGACTCTACACTTGCTTTTCTCTAATTACTTATAGTAGTGTGATGTGGGTGGGGTGACCTCTTCTCCAAGTCTGTGTGCAAAGCGGCACATAAAAATCTGTGCGAAACAATGCGAACTTGTTCATATTGCTGTCGTGGTTTGTGAAAACCAGAACTACTGAATTTTCCAGAAAATCTGTTTTGAAATCAGGTGTTGTATGTACATCTTCTGTTCCAACATGCAGGAGGCTGGAGGGTGAGGCAGGGGGATTGTGAATTTGAGGCCAGCCTGGGGTACAGAGTAAGATCTTGTGAGTTCTGTGTGTGTTAGGCCATGCGACCTGATTATTTTATTTATTTATTTATTTATTTATTTATTTATTTATTTATTTATTTATTTTTTT